GGCGTTGAACATGTGAGTCATCACAAATTTACACCAATTGATATTGGCGTTGTGAATCATCGCATGAATTGTCTTCGTGTCCTCCTGGGAGAGAGTGGTGTGATTGAACTTCCTAGGCTTGGGAATCCGTGTCAAAACATAAAAAATGAATCGAAACACGGGACTCATGGAAGCAATCGTAGGGCGCCGCTGTTGGGGAGTGGGGACGAAGTGTCGGATGCCCACTTCCTCCAAGAGAGCGGTCTCATTAAACCGCGCTCCTTCTTCTCCGACGTAGAGCCCGAGATCCTATCCGTCCCGACGAAGCCCGGTGAGGATTTGAATGTTTTCCTCATTCAAATAAATGTCCACCCCATTGACGTTAGAGATCAACGCTCCGTGCTCATCCTTTTTCAAGTTCGAGTAGAAAGCTCGAACAAGAAAGGGGTGATAATGAGCCTTCTTGATGTAGAGGAGGTCGAGGAAGTTTCCACGTTCGAGGATAACCCGTGCCTCACGTGGAATGGAGTCATGAATGAAGCGGGCGGTGGAGAGTCGGGGAGGGAGAATTTCCCGGTGCTCAAACTTCTCCGAGAACCGCGTCGCCTCTGCGCGGTCGTTGAACCAAAGGAACGACTTTCTAGGTACTTGTGCGCCGGTGGTGGAGGAGGAGCCGAGGAGGAAGCAACGTTCTTCCCGGTGCGAGATCGTTTTCTTTGACCTCCTGCCATTTCAACAAAGTAGAGAGGGATAGCAAGACAAAAAGAAGAGAAATTTGCAGGGATTTTGCAAGAACACTGAAGAATAATTGCAAGAAGGATGAAATAATGCTGAATATATTGAGAGAGGATGATTGGAATGAGTAAATATTGAAGGGATATCACCAATTTATAGTGGAGGAGGTGTAGAGATCCGTTGGAATGGTCAAACAAGGTTTAAATGCTTCTCCAACGTCTCTGCAACGGTTAGATTTTTGAAAAATCGCCGTTGATAATCAATTTACACTCCCTGTAAATCGATTATCTGAGTCTTCAAATTCTCCGTCAAAGAAACTGCAGGCTTCAATAATCGATTTCTGCCTTGGTTGTAAATCGATTGTTGGAGAGGATTTGCCTCAAATTTCTGAAGGCTTTAATAGTCGATTTACAAGTTTTTTGTAAATCGATTGTTGATGTTTCTAGCTAAGTTTCCTCAAACTCCTGCAGGCTTAGATAATCGATTATCTCAATGTTGATAATCGATTGTTGGCTCTTTCAGTTTCTTTGCCCCAATCTTCTGCGGGCTGTGATAGTCGATTATCACAACCTGTAAATTGATTTATACCAAGTCCGAAAAAAAATCGATTTACTTTGTTCCCCCTAACTTTAACACCTGAAAATAAAATTAAAAGAAGAGCCCTGCAAAAAAAGTTGAAAACGTCTCCGACGTTCAAGTTAGTAAGGATCAATAATGATATTTAATGCACAACTTAGATCATCGTGGAGTCAAGGATTCCGAGTTCACTACGAATGCGGAAGAACGACTCTTTCTCTAAAGGTTTTGTGAAAATGTCGGCTAATTGGTTGTGTGTTTCAACGAACTCAATTTCGACATCACCTTTGAGAACATGATCTCTAATGAAATGATGCCTAATGTCAATATGTTTCGTCCTTGAGTGAAGAACCAGATTTTTCATCAAGCTTATGACGCTAGTATTATCACATCGAAGAGGGACGTGATCAATACTAAGGCCATAATCCACAAGTTGTTGCTTCATCCAAAGGACTTGAGCACAACAACTACCGGCGGCAACATATTCCGCTTCGGTTGTGGATAATGCAACACTGACTTGCTTCTTGCTAAACCATGAGACTAAAGAACTACCAAGCAAGTGACACGTCCCACTCGTACTTTTACAGTCTAACCTACAACCGCAAAGTCCGAATCAGAATAGCCAAAAAGATGACAAGGAGACCCTTTGGGGTACCATAGTCCAACGTTCATTATACCAACAAGATATTTCATTATTCGTTTCACCGCCGTTAAGTGCGATTCTTTCGGACAAGATTGATACCTTGCACATAAACAAACGCTAAACATGATATCGGGTCTACTAGCGATAAGATAAAGAAGGGATTCGATCATACCTCGATACTTCTTTACATCTACTTCCTTACCCTTTTCATCTTTGTCCAGGTGCTCGGAGGTGCTCATTGGGGTAGCCATTGCTTTGGAGCCATCCATTGCAAATCTCTTTAGAAGCTCCTTGCAATACTTTGATTGACAAATGAAGGTCCCTTCCCTCATTTGTTTGACTTGTAACCCCAAGAAGAAATTGAGTTCCCCCATCATGGACATCTCAAATTCATTTTTCATTAAGTTTGAAAATTCCTTGCACAAAGATTCGTTAGTAGCACCGAATATAATGTCATCTACGTAAACTTGCACCAAGAGGATGTTATCGTTTTTACTCTTGATAAAAAGTGTAGTATCGACCTTCCCCCTTTTGAACCCGTTGTCCAAAAGAAATTTGCTCAAACGCTCATACCAAGCATGAGGTGCTTGTTTAAGACCGTAGAGTGCTTTCTTTAGTTTATAGACATACTCCGGGTGCTCAAAATCCTCAAAGCCTGGGGGTTGATCAACATACACTTCCTCTTGAATAAAACCATTGAGGAAGGCACTCTTAACATCCATTTGGTATAGCTTATAATCCATAGATGAAGCAAAAGCGAGTAATAAGCGAATAGCTTCTAAACGTGCTACTGGTGCATAAGTTTCTTCAAAATCAATGCCTTCTTCTTGATTGTAGCCTTTAGCTACGAGCCTAGCTTTGTTTCTAGTGATTATTCTATTTTCATCGAGTTTGTTACGGAACACCCATTTCGTACCAATTATGGTGTGATCATCGGGTCTTGGCACCAATTCCCAAACGTCATTTCGTTTGAATTGGTTAAGCTCCTCTTGCATTGCCAAGGTCCAATGTTCATCATCAATTGCTTCCGAAATGGTTGTAGGTTCAATTTGAGAGACAAAAGCCATGTGACCTACAGTGTCCCTAAGAGAGCTACGAGTACTTACCTTTCGGTTGATGTCACCGATCACCTTGTCAAGAGGATGGTTCTTTGAAGTCCTCCATGCCCTTGGCATTGGCGTTTCCTCCTCTTGTGGTTGTTCCTCGTTTACGGGTGGCTCTACTTCTTCATCTTGGCTTTCCTTTGAGTTGTCTACTTCGTCATCGTCGTTGAGATAGATGTTCTCCAACGAATCTA